TCTATCGTCTACCGTTTACCGTTTACGCTTCGGTTCGGGGACAGTCCTGAAAGCTGAAAGCTGAAAGTGCCTCTTGTCATATTTTATTGATGGACACTTGGGCAAACAGCGTGCATGCACTTGCTAAGATATACACTAGGCACTGGCCACTCGCCACCGGGCACATCCATCTAAACGGATATATATTATATGTATATATAGATATATATGTACATGTAAACTGCAGTCGCGGTCGAAGACTATTATCATGAAATTTTAAAAAGTTCCTCGACTATTTTTCGCCGCATAATGCCGAGGCAATAAGTTATTGGACTATTGAGGCCACCTGGGCCAACATTTTTCACAGTCGAGTGGCGGCGAAAGGAGGAGAAAGTAGGAGAACCAGAACCCACCTCCAAAGTAAACCCAACAGTCGAAAAAATAAAAAAAGAAAAAAAAAAGAAAAATAAAGAGAAAAACCCACTGACATACAAAGTTGACTTTTGGTCGATTGAAAGTCCTCGAAATGCAGACATATGGACATCGAGCTAAAAGTCGGACAGCAAATGGCTTAAATATTTTAGATGACACCCCGTAATACCCATTGGGACTGCATATATATAATATTTATCATCATCTAAATATGCACGCATGTGTTGTTCCGCCCCATTTACATAGGGATAGGTACTATATATGGAATGGCGGACACTCATCGATAATTCATGTCCACGATCTGAGGACCGCTCTTTCCCCCAAGGGTTCCGTTCTTTCATTGCTCATATGCCATTATAAGTATGCCATTAATTACGTGGCGATTGGCATTGTTTAAATTGCGCCGGAATTGCCTGGTAAATCGGCAAGACCGTATATCAAAAGGAGCACACTCTATATATGCCAATAAGTCAGTGGTCCTAATTTATGAACTTTATCTTTAACCCGAACTTTTTTTTTGGACCTTGAATCCACTTTATTGCGATTCGCACATTATAGAGATGACGATGATGATGCGATCGTTAACCGAATCCAAATCCAAATCGAAATCGAAATCGAAATCGCCTGTCTTGTAAACAATATATCAAAGCAATAGATACAGACGCTGGAATCGGGCGATACGTTCCGAGCACTTGAGAAAACTTTATGTCTTTATGGGCGTTTTTTTTCTGGCTTTTTCTTGAGTTTCGAACACTGATGATGGAATAGTCAGCCGCCTTTGTGTGATGCGCCTTTTTGCCCACATTTGTTTTGTGTTATTGCTTTCATAGCCCCCACCCCCAAAATTAACATCCAGCCATTATCTTTTCCACAAGGGTGTTTTCAATTGGTCACTCTTTATGGCTAACCTATATTTAGAATATTGTATAGAATATTAAACAATTAAAGTGTCGTTAATATGAAATTCATCACTTTCCCATATATGTATCTCCAGAATTTTTATGCCATTTATAGGCAATAGCACATAAATTGTATCACTTTATACCAAAATTATTTTAGTGGCGACTTGGGAAAAAAAAACATCCATTCTATATCGAAAAGTTTTAGTTCCCAATGGTTGTACTTCCTCGGCAAAATTGGTTTTCTTTAGCTTCTTGTGAAACCACTGAAATTTCGGTATTCGTTGGAAAGTAAAACTTTCGCCACTTTATATAGGGTAGCAAAGTTTCGTTGCCCAAACCTTTTTCCCAAGAGCTCCATCTCGTGTGTCTGCGATTTGTTTTTGTTTTGTTCTGCAGATGCTTTGGTTCAAAATAACTTCGGATCGTTCAGAGACAGTAGAAAGAGATATGGCTAATGGAGGGAAAGACAGAGAGAGAGAGAGAGAGAGAGCGAAGGAACGCGGGCGATTTATTTATTTTTATAGTTTGGACTATGAGGCAAAATGGACACGTGGAAGCCGCCGACGGAATGGCGAATGGAAATGGGCATACAAATGGGCAGCAGATAAGCTAGATACGTCATTGTTTCTAGCCAGCACTGGGAGAAAAAACAGCTGACTTCGAAATGCATTTATACATTTTTTTTTTGTAATTTGTTCATGTTCCTCATGGTCAACAGGTCGTATGCTTAATTCTCGTAGTAAATAAAACGTATACGACATGTTGTCTATGAACAAATATTTTGTAGCATACTTTTAAGCAGATTTTAAAGTGATTTTGGGAATTTCTTTTTAAAAATATAGATAATTTTTCAGGACAATCACTTAAATATGGAAAACATGTAATTTTTAAAGTTGCTTTTAAACCGTTTTTTTGATGCTAAATTTTAAATCGACGGAAAATATTGTTGCCATTAAATTACCTAATCAAATCCCTTTCGCTTATTTTGGTTATTCTGAGTTTAAAACCCCCTCTTTTTCTCCGGTGTAGTCTTACCAGAATGGGTCGCTCGTTGGCGTAGGACAGCTTGCGTGTGTTGCGCAGCGTTTCAAGCCAAAGGGAGTTCCTGCGGGCGGCACTCGTGGCGCCACCGACGCTGCCCGTTCGCGTCATCAGCGGCAGCCGCTGCTGTTGTTGCCACATTTGCGTCTGCGTTTGCGTTTGCGGTATCTGCGGCATCATCATGAGCGTCAGCGACGGTGACCGCGAGGGGGTGGGCGAGGGGAAGGGCGTTACGGTTGGGGAGGGGGTGCCAGAGGTCGATGACGTCGTCGACACGACCACCGGCATGGGCGTGGGCGTGGGCGGTGGGGGCGTGGCCTGGCATTTCCTATTGAGAGCGCCCTGATTACAATCGTTATCCATGCAGAAGGCCGGCGACATGCTCTGCTTGACCTCAAGATCGAAAAGAGTTTTTTTTTTTTGGGGGGGAACCCGCAAAAAATAATTCTTAATTGAATAAGATCATCAGTTTTTTTTCACTTAATTTTGTTTTTTTTTTTTTAATTTGATAGATCAATAGAAATCCCAGGTTTATGGAACGAGCGAAGAATGAAACGTATTTAAGAAACCGTTTTCTTTGTTATCGTCACTGTTTTTGTTTTCTTAATGGAAGGCAAATATTTGTGTTTTCAGGAAAATTACAAGTACACACAAACATTTTGCCTTAATTATTATTAAAAGATTTTCAAGGAAACAAGTACATTGTTTATTTTAATTAGCAATTCTCAGATCTTGCCGGTTACAGGTTAACGCCGAAATGTTTAAACAATGATATTTATACGCTTTCTTCCTGGAATACATTATATTTCACATTTCACTTTGTCAACCAAGCACGCACAGAAAAAAAAAGATTTTTGTTTTTTTTAGCAACACAATATAAATGAACCATGAACCGCAACCGACGGAAAACCGATGGGTTTTGATTTAATTTTGATTTGAATTGGGATTTTTCTGGCCAACTTTCGACTGCGTAATTGTCCAGAATGTAAACAGAATCGGGGAAGCAGACACAATTCAGCATTTCCACAAGCCGTTCACGTCCATTATTGACCGATCCGATCGGATCCGATCCGCAACCGATCTGGAAAATGAGCGACAGAGAACGAGAGTTCCCAAATCTAGAGCGATCCCTTCCGACGACGCCGCACAAATGGCCTGCCCACCAAATGTTTTATTTATATTCCAATCTGGTGCGCTCCTGCCTTTTTTTTCAGCTTGGTTCCGCCAATATAACGGAACCAAGGAGAACATTAATGTACCCGATCTTAAGTATCGACTTTGCGATGCCCTAAAACCCTATTTATTAATCATCCCAATATTGTTTAAATTTAAAAAAATCCTAAAAGATGTGAAAGCCTAAAATCGTATGTATTTCGAAGCGTGAAAACCGAACTCAAAAACGAAAAAATCTATTCTTTAACCTTAGACGCAAAAAATACCTATTTGTCTTACAAGTACGATTATAAAGAACAACTTCTTCGATCAGCTTGCTTAAATTGCGTGTGGATTGCGGATCGCGATTGGAAGGTGGGATCCAAGTGGACAAAAAGCAGCAGGTGGATGGCCCAGATGAGAGAAACTATTTTAGAGAGCGATGAGAGAAATATCCGTGTGTGGAAAGCCGGGGAAAACGGGGAACACCTGATCGCGTCGACGTCATGGAAATGAAAATGTTGCAGCCTTTACTGAGGGAAATATTAAATGCTTCCGCTCGGTACTTAATTGCTGCTAAGAAAAAACCAATGATAAGCTATACGAATACCCTGGATATTAAAAATCCACTATCATTTAAACGTGTTAAAAAAAATCTTGTTGTTAAATAAAAATATCGATAAATTCTTTATTGTAGAACGTTTGTTCGGAAAACTAGTTTATTGTTTATATATAAATATACATCCCTTCCAATAATCACCCCAAAAAAATGATTATATTATCTATATGGCCGAAATTAATTGGTGCATTTTGCTTTCATCACAAATAACGACAATCGGTGCTAAATAAATCGAAACATTTTCAACAACATCTCTTACCTGTGGCGATAAATCATCGATTTATGTTATACGTAAACTAATTAGGGGTGATACATTACAACTACGGGTCTACATTCAAAAACGGATGCAAAAGCATACGGGATGCTGAAGCGGATTTGGAAGTGGATGCGAGATTATGGGATGCGGAAATTTAAACTTGAGCTACAAGCGGCCAAAATGCTCAAAACGGTTTTGAAACGGGTATTTTTGAGTTATTGTTTTGTTTTTTTTTATTTTCTTTTTTTCGGTGAAATTTCTATGGGGAGATTGAATATTGGACATTGACGCAGTGCAAGCTAGGAAGAAACGAATGCCAAACGCAAATCGATTGCACGGGGGCATTTAGCATTTTGCAGCATAATGCATTATGTTATCGATAACAAGCTACTTGACCGCTGGGGGGCGGAAAGGTCATTGCGGTGCCATTGAAAATGAACTTTTGGTTTTTATTTGGGTTATTTGGTTTTTTGTTGGTTTTTTTGGAACTTTGGAACTACTTTGGTTCATTCTAAATATTTATGTACACATAAAACAAAATTGTTAGTTTCGGCAAATGGGTTTTGTTTTGTAGTTTTTTCGTTTTCGTTTTCGTTTTGTTTGTTATTTTGTTAAATACCATTTTGGAGCATTGGAGCGTTTCGTTAGTGGCCTCGGTGAAGGCTCTGCGAAGGCGCAACTTTCGGCTATCAGACAATGTGCGAGGCATTAGAAGAACGCCCTGAAGAGATTGCGAGAGTTGATGCGACAGCGATTAGTACAGATGGTTTAAGTTATCTTAGTTAGTTAGGTAAGCTAAGCTACTTCTGGATGGAGATTACCAATGGATTGTGGACGGGGACGGGGACTTAGACGTAGGATTCTGGGTCTGGTTGGATGGAAGCGATTGAAATACCTAGATATTAGACATAGATCAGCGTAGAGTCCTGCGAGAACAGTGCGTTGCGAAAGTAGCAGGCTAAGTAAATTAATTTTGTATAATTTCCTGGTTACTTAATTTTACAATTAATTATATTTTTTTTAAGGAAATCTTTGCTCTTACAAAACGCACTGTCCTCAAATATAAGTAAGAGTATATAAGAGTTAGGTTATTTAAGAATACTGTCGAAACTACATAGATATTAAAGATATTACCATTATAACTAAGGGATATTTATCGATTACAAAGATATCATACATAAGGTAGAGATAGTAATGAAATATTATACGTGTGGCAAAAGTAATAGCGGGATATCTCTATCTGATCCTATGGGGCTGATGCGATACTACGGGAAAAGTATCATATAACTACGGCCTGGGATATGCCTGAAAAGTAATGACGGGCCTTCGCGGCACGTGTGTGATCCTTTGGGGACTGACGAGTTTTTTTCTATATATGTATGGGTGTATGTGTGAAGAAAAGAGTGTGGAATGGATGAAAAGTTCATTGCATGTTGCATAATTAAATAGAGAGCTTTTAAACAATAAAAACAACAACAATAATGGCGGGGGGTCAGCAAGAAGAACGGAAAATGGAAAAGCGGAAAACCGAAGACAATTGAAAACTTGAAATATGCTGAAGCTTTCGCTTTCCACTTAACCCCTGCCTGCCAATGGCGAAAGGGAAAGCTCCGGCGAAAAGCTCTCGAAAAGCGAGGGGGTTAAGTGTAACAAGGTGACCGCAGGGGAATTGCATATACAAATTGTTTGTTGTCTTTTTTATTCGTGTTAAATGTGGCTTGAAAGCTTTTGGCCCATTTGCATGGGGAGCCCTTAAATGTGGGGGATTTCCCATTTTCCTTCGCCTCGCTCATTTACCGTTTACCATTTGCTTTCGCTATCTTTGCCGCTAGTTTTTTGAAAACGAAAAGCTTCCGAGTGCCCCGAAGCTTCCATAAATGTTTTACCGTCCCCATTCTACCGCTTTAAAGGACTACTACTTCTTATCCCCCTGACTATTGCCGAAAGTGTCTGCCAGAGAACCCAACGCAATTATCTATAGGGACTGGAAAAAAAAAGAAAATAACATATTACAAAAAACGGAGGACGGGGCGGGGTGGAAGGGAAAAAATAGGAAAACGCGACGGCAAATGTCAAAGAGTGAAAACATTCATCAATCATGGTAAGGTCACTGCCAGCATGAAGGAAGAAGCGATATCATTTTTTCCCCATCTCTATACATATATATTTATTTCTCGTTTTTTTTTCTTCTTCATTTTCATTTTGGTTTTTCTTTTTTTTTCAGATATTTATGGACGGCTAAAGTTCAGACGCGTTGGGCGTAAATTGATATTAATTATAAGGGAGAGATGAAAGATATAGATAGAGCGCGACTAGAAATGGTATTTTCGCTAGCACTTAACAATTCAATTGCCACATGAATAATCAATTTGCAGGCTGCAGGAAAGAAATGTCTTAATTGCGTTTGCTGGATACCCACCATCAAATGGTAAAATGCTAAAATGCTAAATGCTCTTAGGCCCACCTACTAAGACCCCATTTCCATTTTCCATTTCCCTTCTTCCCCCTTTCCCCTTCTCCCGCCAATCAAATGGCGTGTAAACAAAATTTTTAATTATGCCCACCGAAAGTAAGATGGAAAAGAGAAAAAATTAAAAGAATTATATGGGTATGCGAAATGCGATTGAAGGTGGCCAAGCGGGCAAATGAACAAAATAATTGTTGAGCCAACGCCGCGTATGAGCAATATTGATTTTCACTAATTGGATTTTGGCGCGCGAAAAACGCTAAATGGCCGAAACAAGGAGAAGGAGCAAATTGAACGAAAACAGCAAACCGAAAGAACAACAGCAACAAAGTAAGCAAATCACAAATTGCCACCGTTTTATGATTATTAGAAAACATCTATGGCATAAATAAAGAAATCCGAACTGAACATAAAAAAAGCATCTTGGAGGGGTTTTTCTTGTGTGTTTATGTAGATGAGTTATGGGGCAGTGAATCTGGCGGTGATGGATCCATCTAGGAAATAACACTGGAGTACGGCAAACATTTGATAGTTTCTTTGAGTGGGACATCAAATGTGTGGGCGATTTGACTGAGCATAAAAATATCATTACTGAGAATCAAATATTTTCCGTTGCTTTAATATTTGATTTGGTCACTCTTTGTTACTGTTTTCAAGACTGGTCCCTTTAAAATTTAAAATATTTTTTAGTTTTCACATAATAATTTAGGATTAAGCTCATTAAATTTGTTTAACGTTTTATCACTGCAAAATTATATTCATATTTCCAACAATCTGGTCCCACTGAACTTAAATATCCCTACATATCCGACTATTCAAACTATACAATGAAAATTCTTGATGAACACACAGAACATCTAGTGTGATAGTGGCTACAGAACATCCAATTTACGGGTATATATGTACGGCGAAGGGATATGCTCAGTTGATATACTATATGGGATAATACATAGAGGTCTGTTTACACACCGAGCGCTAAGGGTTCTCTTGGGTGGCGTCCACTCGGACATTTATGAGCTGGGCGATTGCAGGTGGCTTATGTACATACATGAATTATGTACAAGGGGCTCATGGCATTGTGGGCACTCGAAAAAAAACATTGAAAATCGCCTTTAATTTGTATTAAAGAAATTAATATTTGAAATGCGCCTTTTAATGTGACCAGCTTTCGAAATAACTTCAAAGGAATAATCCTGCTTATAAGACAATGCTGGTTTTGTCTTATAAAATTTACATTTTAATGTGACCAGCTTTCGCAATCTCGTTAAAGGAATAATCCTGCTTACAACAAAATGCTGGTCACCTTAATATTTCTTATTTCGAGATTTAAATTGTATTTGAAAGCAACAACAATACATTTTAAAGGCGAATTTCGCCAGCTTTTTTTCGAGTGCTGGTCGGCTAAGGTTGCCTCCTCCCTCACTGAACTACAGGGGCCGGAGGTCGGGTTTTCACATTTTTTTTTGGGGTAGGCCTGGTGGATCCAAGAAACCAAACTGATTCTCACCTGCTTGAAGGGCCGCATGCCCCCATTGATCCGCAGGGAGTCGGCTGCAATGCCCGCGATTCCATCGCCGGAACTTTCGCGCAGTTGCTTCAGCGAGACATTGGGCACCGTGTGCGAGTGCGAGTGGGCGTGGCCGACGCAGGCGGAATGGGGTCCGCAGCAGATCGCCGTGCTGCTCGATTCCGGCTGTGAGCTCTGCCGTATAATCCGGGATCCGTTCGTTGGCGATGAGGTGATCAAAACGGGCGGCACCTGTTGCTGCTGCTGCTGCTGCAGATGTTGCTGATGCTGCAGGTGTTGCTGCTGCAATTGATAGTGTTGCTGCTGTTGCAGGTGATATTGCTGCTGCTGCTGCTGTTGCGGCAGCGCGGAGTTCGATATACAAATGGCCATCGAGCCACTGAGATTGCCCTGCTGGAAGGCACTTTTCACACTATCGCGGGAGGCGGAGCGATCGATGAGGGTGGTGGGCGTGGTGGAAGCACGTCGGCTGCAATTGCGACAGGCCCGGCAGCGACTGGGCACACTGGGCGGTATGCTCGAGGCCAGGTTCTGATATGATGAGGTGCCCAAGTTGGGATGACTGCCCGGGCTGGAGCTGTGGCTATGGCTATGGCTCTCGCCGGGCTTCAGGCTTAAATTCATAATTGATATGGTCGGTTGTTGGTTATTGGTCGTGATCGTGGTCGTGGTCGTTGTCGATCCCCTTTCTTGGTCCTCTTCGTGTACTTCAATGTCAGGCACTATGCTGCTGCGGACCTGCAGTCCCTGCTCCACATCCTCGTCGTGGGCGGTGGCTCCTCCTCCGCCTCCTCCTCCTCCACCTCTCATACTCTCCTCGGAGCCCATTCGCACATGCTGCGATTGCTGGGGACTCGTTAGGTATGTGGAAGTGCGATCCTGGCGCATTAATGTTGGCTTGGAAGCCCCAGTTCCTCCGCCGGCTGTCGAATTCGAGCCCGATGCCGATACAGATCCTGATCCTCCACCGGAACCAGAACCAGTTCCTGTTCCCGATCCCGTCACCGAGCCCGACGACGAGGTGGATGCCCCCGTCGTCGGGCCATTCGTGGAGCTACTCTTCACCTGGCGCAGCAGAGCCGTCCGGCCGCCCCCCTTGGAGGGATTCGAGCTGCTCACCAGCAGCGAGTCCGTCTCCTCGGAACTCACGTAGCCCGAGTTGGTGGTGTCGTTTAGCTTCTGAATTGACATCTGGAATATAGGAGGAGAGGCAAAAATATTTGTAATAATATATTATTATATTGTATTATTGCTACTGACCAAATTTTATCCCTTCAATTCTATTGGATTAGAGATTATAGTAATTATATTTTATATATTATTATAGTAAAAGCTAGATTTTATCAAGTACAAGTATGGTAAAATTTGTAAACCCATAAAATCCAAAGATATCATTTTCAATTTAAATATTTTATATCAATGGAAGAGTTTATTACTTATAAATATAAAAAGACTCAATTTAAAAATGTTCAGCTTTTATATTAATATGAAATTATTTTTTTTAATGACCTGTAGTATTTTATGTAAATAAGGCATTGTGTCTTATATTTAAATAAGTAATTTTAAGTATTTTTAAAATAAACAACAATAAACATTTCAAGATCAATTGGTTGATTTGCAATTAACATTAACTTTATTAAATACAAACTAAAGCAAAACCTCATCAAAAATTAAAAACTGGTCATTCATCATTTCACTTTTGATTCTGCATTATTGAACATGCATTAAAAACTAAACTTAATTAATAATTCAAGGAAAACAACTGAGCAAAGGCAACTAGGCGTATGCGTGTTTAATTGACGAGTTTTCTTATGGAAATTAGATAATCAACTTGTCCAGAAGAAACTCAGAGTCAAGGCAAAAGGAATCACAAGTCATAAAGTCGAAAACTTGTAAAGTGAGTGCAGGAAAAAAAAGGGGAAGGAAAAGCCAAAGGAGCGGCTTACGAGCCCATAAAGAAAATGGAAAATGAAATGAAAGACCGGTTCGAAAGCTGTGGCCGAGCTTTCCGGGAAAACTATTTGCCAAGAAGTTGGACCTCGGTGACAAAGAACTGATAAGCCACAAAAGCTTCAAAGCCAGCGGACGCACACATATGTGCCAGGATAAAGCGGGAAATGCGGGAAATGGAAAGCTCGTTGACCGCAAGTCACCTATACGAAAAGTCAGGGAAAACCAAAAATAAACAAAACGATAAATTTGAAAGAAATCTAAAAAATGTTACAAATGAAAATCAATAATTTAGCCATAAATACGAAAGGGAATTGTAAAGAAATACATCTAGAAAAATTAACAATTCAAATTTAAAATTTGTATAATCTGAAAGAAAAAGTGAAGCATAATAATTTTAGTTTTTTTTTATACATTTGAAAAGATATAATTTTTTTTTTATATTTTTAAATATTTTTACAAATTTTTAAAGGAAATTTGGCACTTTTCTCACAGTGCTATTTTGGGGTAACGGACAACGTTGGACTTGGACAAAAGGACATTTTCGGGGAGCTAGACGAAAAATGTGAAAATTTGAACACCTGCAGAGTAATGAATTCTGCTGGCTGACTGCCTGGCATGGCCATATATATCCATATATATCCCCGACATTGTATGGCCCACATGTGCAAGAGGCACACATACCGTACACACACCACATATAAGTATGAATCCATTATACGTTTGCATGTCGAGCGTGCCGCTAATAATAGTTGGGGGCCCCACGGCCCATAGCCCATAGCCCATAGACCAAAGACCATATCAGAGGAGTCCGTGCCAGGCAGAATGCCATAGATACAGATACGGATGAGGGCAGTGGCGTAGGCAGGAGTTTCAACGAGGGGGGGGGCTAAAGTCTTAAGGATCTCGAGGGGAAAATCTCCCTTACATTTATTGCTTCAGAATATAAACTTTAGTTTGTTTCATTGATTAAATTGTAACCCCCCCTTGGAACGCCACTGGCTTGAAATGAACTTCTTTCTCTTCTGCTTCAAATTGGGTTAAAATTCTTGTTCCCTCCCGCCGACGACGATGGCAAATGCAATCGCATTTTTTGGGGTCGCAAATGAATTCAATTGTTTATGAGCCATTCTCCTGATGGGATATTCTATAAATATCTATCCATGGTCTATTGATTAATTTCTCCGTCAGTCAGTCAGTCAGTCACTCTAGTCCAAACAAAAAGAAATATATATTTTAAAGCAAGCCGGTGGGAGGACCGCAACAAGGATGAATCAGCTAAAAAAGAAAACGAAAATCCATTCATAGATGAATCTGGAATAATTGATAAACATCTCGTCTTTCGATGCGCCGAGCCTTAATTCGATTTCGTTCGATTCGATTCGAGTCGAGTCGAAGTGATGAAATTTTAATCGCGCCATTAAAATGATTGCTTTATCGCAAGCAGGCACGTACAGTGCGGCCCAGCTGTGTAATTCATTTGGATTCGGATTGGCCGGCGATAATCGCCTCATAAATATTTGTAAATTGAACAATGTTTTTTGTTGATCGGTTGATGGGATTATGAACTATGAACTGCAAATGCAAATGTATCTTAATAAATTCTTAAGCGCAAAAAAAAACTGGATATGAAACTTTGATCGATTCGATGTTATGTGCTATAGATTTTGACTTGATATGCCGGCATCTCAATTCGATATGCATTATGCAACTTTAAGCCCTATCTCGCTCTATTTCGAATTGAGAGAGTTTATACTTCTCGCCCTCACATTTCGGTAAAAAAAAAACATATGCGTATGCTACCAGAAGTTTACCATGCGCATATCTATTTAACCGGTCAGTAACTACAGTTCCTAAGGACGAAAAGCAATTTAGTTGCCACAACCAATACATGAATACAAATCAATAACTTTCTTTATCCTCAAATATGCAATGACCACCATAAGCTCACCTACTTAAATTGATAATTTACTTTTCTCCTGTTCAATGGCCAATCAAATTCGATTGCTTAGCACAACAAATCACGGTAATCCAAGGTGGGACGAACGGACGTGGCCTTGTTACAACACCACCACAACATGGGGCATTAAGCCATCAATCGCCTTACAGCCGGGGGACGCACTGTACGGCTACCCCGTAAATCCTATTCACCATGCACCGATGGAACCAAAAAGGACAAAAACGGGACAGAAAATAGGGAGATGGCCGGGTGTGAATGTCCTCGTCGATGGTCAGAGGACGGAGAACCTCAGAACCTCAGCTTGGAATAAGTTAAACGGGTGCTGCTGTATCGTATACACTATATATGCAGGCAGGTCGGGGGGCCCCAGGTGACCCAGATGTCATTCAGCACTCAACGCTAAAACATCGCCCGCAACGCAGCCTGGCCAATAACAATAAAGGACCAAAAGGACCCAGGCACAGGCACAGTCACAGGACCTCGAACTACAATCGAATTGTAGTGCTGTCGTTTCGGCTTTTATGCCATCAATTGTCCTGCATCCCCTTTTTGCGAGCCCCATGAAGTGGAAATGCCTGTTATTCCGTAATTAAGTGCCAATTGTTTGGCTTTATTAACTCTGCTTAGATAGGTGGGTTTTACGCTTACGCCTGCAAAGCGGTTGGCCCTTTAAATTGTGCACTTCTTTGAAATCAATCTGTCTGTCAGTCAATGGGGGTAAATTATATAAGTGAAGTGGCATAAAGACAGTGAAAGAGTTGCTAATGAAAAATATGTTTCTACGAACATTTTAAAAATCTACAAAATAAAGAAATATTTAGAAATATATTAAAGAATACAATTATCTTTAAATATGTACATACAAATATATATGATAAAAAAATAGTACTTAGGTTAAAATCCAACAAATATATTTAAAACAAAATATAATATATACAAACTAATTTTCCATAACTTGGTATTAAAGCATACAATAAATTAAAAGTATATACTATACTTACTGAAAAGCATGTTCAAAAATAAATCTTAAATAATGTTATTAAAAACAGAAACCTCTTTTTAAAATCTTTTAACCCCGCTCAAATCGAACAACTTTCCTCTGGCTTTCGCTGCCTCTTCTGTTAACCTCTTTTTTAATACCCACAATAGCCGGGCAACACTGGAGCGAAGGCAGTACAAATAATTTGGAGCGACACACGGACAGGAGAATTCTATTGTGTAACGGCCGCTTCAGGTTTTCTGGTTTTCAGGCTTTCGGGCTCTGTGGCCATTGAGACCTGACAGCGTTGTTTAATGGCCAAAGGGGCTGGAAGCCCTTCAATCCGCAGGATTCCTGCTGACTGCTGACTGGTAACCGGTAACTGGTAACTGGTAACCAGGACGAGGCGACGTTCGCATGTACAGATAACAATTTATTGCACAACTCAAAATCAGAGGCAGAGTGCCGAGTGGCCGAGTGGCCGAGGAGTCCTTTGGCTTCTTTCATTCTTTTTTTCGTGCCGGAACAGGAGCAGGACCCTCTACATAAATTTCATTTGCAGGGCAACAAAAAAACAACAAGAAAATCGTTAACTTGGCCAGGTTTTATCCTGTGCCAGGAGTCACCAGCACACAAAACATTATGCCCCCACTTTTCCCCGCCCCCCGAAAAACTCACCTCAACAACAACGACCTCGTTGCATTCGTCAAAAGCTCTGTTGGCACATTTTGTTTTTCTTATTTTTTTTTATTTTTTTTGTATTTTTGTGAAACGAAAAACGAGTGGAAAATATAGAAAGGATGCCACAGGCTGGCCAAAGTTGAGGGGTCACCCTCTAATTGCACGGAAACCCAGGGATTACAAAAATTCTGATCCTAATAGAGCTCCCAGCTCCCTCTGGGCATCTCCACACTTGTCGTCCCCCCAAACCGACTTCTAATCTCAGTTTGGCTCTTAACTTTGACTTTTGACAGTTTTAACACGGTCAAAGGTTTCAGTTTCAGTCGAAAAAAAGCCGGAGCAAAGTTGCCTACTCGGTCGGATTTTGGAGAAATGTCACCGGAATTATTATAGGTTAAATTCCATGAAGCAATCAAGCAGAGTCTATATTTTCTTAAAAATTCCAATTGCAAACAAAAGAACAGTGTTATATAGATTACTTTCTGTAAGGAGAATTACTTTCTGTATTAAATAAACATTCCTTAAACTGAAGTTATAATTTGGTTATTATTGTAAGCAATTGGCAAACTAATTTAATTAGTTCAGTTAATTCTATTAGCCTGCTCAAATCACTTAACAAGT